TTTGAAATTAAAAAAAATAATTTAAATTTAAAAAAAGTTTGATGAAACAAGGGATAAAAGAAGAAAGTTTTTTTTTCTTAAATCCTAAATTTTTTTAACGTTTTGAATTATATATTTTTTCTTGAAAATAGTTTTAAAAGCAGAAACATTCTATTGTAAACATCAAAGCAGTGATTGCAAATTGCAAGTTAAAATAAAAATTATAAAAATTTTACTTTACTTCTGTTTGAAAAAAATTTTTTCTAAAAAAATAAATTAAGCATATTCTTATACTTAATATAATTCGATTTATTAAACAAAATTTTTTGTTTCACTTTTTTTTGGAAAACAATTATAATAAAAAAAAAAATTGAATGAAAACATCAGTTTAAAAACCATTTAAATGAAAAACTTAATTATACTTAAATTTTTAATCGTACGCTTGATCGGGAAACAATAAATTATAAAAGACGTGGTATCCAATGTTTTTTTTTTTTCTCGTTTGGTCCATATATTATAAACTCGTATAGGTCTATAGGCGCTAATATGAAGTTTTGTTTTAGTTTAATAACTAGATCAATTTTATTTATTTGCTTCCTTTTATTTTAAACGCGTTTTATTTTATAAATTGTATTAATCAGCATGAAACAGCGCCACGAATTTGTTTTACATTATACCAAGCTCTTTATATTTTTAAAACAACTTTGCAGTTTGTTTTAATGTTGTTTTATAGTTTTTAGCAATTAAATACTTTTTAAAATTAACATGTGTTTTAACGTCAGCACGAATGTGTTAAATAGTTTTCTTTGACTAATTAAAGTGGTTTAGATATTACAATGTTGCTTTTTCGCTTACTTTTTTACTTTTACTTTTTTAATTATAATGATACTTATATATACTTACATATTTCTTTAAGTATATATTTTACTTAAGTAAAATATATACTTAAAGAAATATCTTAATAGTATTAAAAACGTTATTGCTTATTACAACTCTAACTTAAACTTTTTAAGTTATAACTTAAGTTGTAAATAATAACTGTAACTTACGCTATTTTAAACTCTGCCGAACAAGATAATTATAAGATTATATTTAAATATGAGAGATAATATATTAAAAGTAGAACAATTATGTACAAAAGTTACAATTATATACTAACGCAACTTCCCTCCCCCCCCCTCATTACGGCAAAGAAGCGCAAGGTTTAAGAAAGGGTGGGTTGGGTGAAATTTTTTTTTTTCACGATTAGATTTTTTTGCGTTAATTTGAGCCCTGGGCATGCTATTTTGTTTTTCTTTACAAGTTGACCATGCCTGTTTTAATGTTACATTATGAATAACTTTTAATCATTGATCATTTCTAAAGTTTTTATTTTTCGTGAAGGCTTTAAATAAAAATATTTTTTATTTTGATGATCATTTAAAATAAACACATTTTTTTATGTAAATTAAATGTTATATATATAAATATTTTTAATAGGCATGTATTTTTTATGATAAATTAAAAAAAATGTTTTTCAAAAAATCTTTTAAAAGATTATTTTTTTAAGTTACTTTAAATTGTGAATAAGTTAAATTATAACCTACCCGTTGCAATGGAATTATTTATTTGTTTCTTTCTATTTTTACAAAGAATTGTTTAAAAGATTTTTTTAACATGACTTACTAATGAAATGAATAAAAAAACAGTTTTAAAAAGACTAATTTGTTATTAAAAGAAATATTTGTTTCAAAATTTCAAATAATACGTTTTAAAGTAATTTACTTCAAACATAACTAAAAACCTAACAAGAAGTAGTTTTTGCTTCGAGTTGAAATTTTTTTAGTTTTATTTTAAAGCTTCTATATTTTCTTTTTCGTAAGAAATTTTTTACTTTTTTCTATAATTTTTTAAATTTTTTTTTTAGTTTAAGTTTAGCTTAGTGTTTCTTTTTTTAGCGCATTTCTGAAATGTTTAAATGTTTTGATGATTTTGTTGGTCAAGAAGTCAACAAAAAAAATCATTTGCTTAGTCATCAATAGTGTTCAATTGCATGCCATTTCTGTCTTAACCTGATTACAATGTAATGGTATCTCTTCATTTGTGAAATAATTTAAACCAATTGTGTTGAAAACTATTTTAAATATTTTGGAAAGAAGTTTTGCTAGTTAACAGTAAAATGGTACATGTTTAAATATACGTTTAAATATATGTTTAAATATACATTTAAATATACGTTTAAATATATGTTTAAATACACATTTAAATACACGTTTAAATACATGTTTAAATACACATTTAAACAGTACATGTTTAATAACAAACATTAAAAATCTCTTTCCTTTAATATCCTTTAAAATAAGTGATTTATGCCATTTTCAAAATAAACGGGCTCATATGTAACATAGTAACAATATTCAAATAACTTTAATTAAATGGTATGATATTTTATTTTGGTTTTTAACTAATATCTTATTGCTGAACTTAAACCTGCTGTTATTAGTGTCCATTTGTACGCATTTGACACTGAACTCTTGGCAGCCATTGTAACCGAGGTAATAGCGAGAAAGAATCACAGTACTTTTTTTATAAGAAAATGCGAAGGAAAGTGTATGCAAATAACTTATGTAAACTTAAAGTTATGTAATGTTAAAACATATATCAAGTTGAACAGTTTTACTTTCATTTGAAATATTGCATTGCGGCAACATCTCCTTATTTTGATTTATAGCACTTGTTTGCTGTTTTATAAAGTTTTTTGTTTATTAAATAGTGCTAAAACATTAATCGAACAACATTAGTGGCTTAAGTGGTTAATTTGCATCCAATTTGAAGTGTATGACCATGGTTCAAATCCTTACACTTAAACATTTTTTAAAAAAAAAACATTTTTGATATCTTAAAATAAAAAACAGAAGATTTTCGAAGTTCTATAGATATATATAAAGATATTAAATACTATAACATACGAAAGAATAAATTTTTAAAAAGGCCTAAAATTTTGAAAAATATTGAAACACCAAGAGAAGTCTGCTTCTGCAGAAGGTGCTGCTGTGGAGTCAAAAAAAAAAGAAAAATAGCGTGTACCTAGCAAAAACTTTAAAATTTTATTTTAAAAGTATTTTTTGCTATATTTATAATTTAACTATAAATATATACAGCCAGATTGAAAAAATTGAAAATGTATTGTGTTAAGTGGTGGATATGAAACCCACAAAGCAACTCTGATGACAGTATATTAGACTACTGAGCTATTGAAATTATGCATGCAATAGAAATACAAACCATTTTATAAATCTCTTATACCAATTGAAATTATTCTTCACTTTTCAAGCAAATTTGCTTGAAAAGTGATTGAATTTGCTTGAAAAGTGATTGAATTTGTTTTTAAAAGTGATTGAATTTGCTTGAAAGGTGATTGAATTTGCACAACTGTTTTTCATACCTTCACAATTAGTTTTTTCTTAAAAAAAAATAATTTTACAATTTGACTTTTATTGTTTGTTTGTTTTTTCTTTTCTATTTTAGCATTTTTTTAATCATTCGTAAAAGTAATGTCTAAGTTTTTTATTAGTAGTCATAATAATTTCAAAAGATAAATATCATGCTAAACTTATCTTTTGATAGATAAATTTAGCATATTTATCTTTTTAGAGATAAATTTAATGATAAATTTTTGACATGAAGCGATTTTGAATTTAAATTACTGTAAATCTCTGCATGGAAGCCAATAATATTTTAAAGTTATATTTAGTTTGAGCTACTTAATGGATAAACTACATCGCCTATAAACTAAATCAGTTACTACAGTAACTTACAGTTACTTGACTATTAAATTTACTTAATATACTTAAAGACAGTGTTGTGCAGACCTATTTTGGATCCCTAGGCAGACTTTCTTGTGGAGCCCTCAACTGTTTTTAGGTTTTTGACTATTATGAAATCAGTCACTTACACAATCAATATTATTTCAGAAATAAAAAACATTTTGATATTGGTTATTACTTTATTAATAACCTAAGGCCTATATTTACTTTAATCTTAGCAGCCAGGTGGCTCCTGCTTCCTTTTTGTGCATGGAAAATTGTTGATGATTTTGCAGAGAGAGCTTAAAAGTCAGTTCATTAAGTAGTGTCACTGAAATACCATGATGCTCTTAAAGAAAAACAAAGTCCTTTAGTCTTTGAAAACTTTTTTATTTCTTTTTGTTGTAGTGTTGTTTTGTATTATTTGTTGCATTATTGAAAAAAACCTAGAAAATTGAATTGTTAAACGTAAATTCCATCAGTTTGAAAAAACTATACAATTAGTATAGGACTCAAATTAGTAGTTTTTTTCTTAAATTATACTTTGCAATTTCATTTTTTATTTTTCTAACAACTCATTAAAATATATATGTATTGATAGGAGGTTTAACATATATTCTTAATGTATATATGTTATTTATATTGATGTGTTGATAGGAGGTTAAACATATATACTTAATGTATATATGTTAATGCATATATGTTATTTATATTGATGCGTTGATAGGAAGTTTAACATATATACTTAATGTATATATGTTAATGTATATATGTTATTTATATTGATGTGTTGATAGGAGGTTTAACATATATACTCAAAATCTTTTATTTGAAAAAGTTAGCGATAGCAACATTTTGTTGTAATATTTGGTAAACATTACAATAAAATGTTGTAATATTACCAAATATTACAACAAAATGTTGTAATATTTGGTAATATTACAACATTTTAATAAAAAAAAAAAGCTTTAAACTAAAAATCATTTTAACAAAGTATTTCCATACTAAATAAAAGATCACAAAATGCAATGAATTTTTTTATATCTGCATATTATCATTTATAACAAGATCAAGATTTCATCAGTTCATCTGCTGGGTTGAGAAAGGGGTGCTAATAAATTTTGTTATTGATTTTAATGACTAACCACTACTTTCATAACTAGCCTGTCACAGTAAACTTATTTGTGTTTTTTTTTAAGAAAGGAATAAACTTCAAGAAAAAATTTTAAATCTAACCTGTTATCTTTTCCAATTTGCCTTCATCTGATTTCAAGACTTCATTAAAATCTTTTACCGTATTTTTAAACTTGCCAACTTTGTCTCCAACATTTGAGGTATATTTTGTTGCTTTCTGAAAGAGGAATATACTGTTTAGTTTACTAGCTCTATGCATCAATACAGAAATAATTCCATTCAATTAAATGTTTTTCAGAGATACTGTCATACAAATATGCATAGATATATCACCAACAAAACTTCACTAATGCCTAATACTAATTAATAATTACTGATACTTTTGTGTAATTAAGTAAATAATAATTAAATAATAATTCAATAATAAAACAAACTCAAAAATTCAATAAGGAAAAAGATTTAGATTGTTAGGTATAAACAATTTTAAATTTAAATTTTATATTCAAGCATCCAGTCATGTACAAAATTACTTTTTTACAAAATTAATTCACCTCCTCAAGGCCAAGAAGGCCACTACAGACAAGGAGGCTACTTATTTGTGGTTATAACCCTCTCTCAACTCTATAACTCCGAAACACAAACCTTGATGAACAAGGCCACTGCGCGGAGAAACAAGTTGTGCACTGTACTACCAGGGATGTGGTGGGGATCAAAGTCGGAACCACTTATTTATGAAGCGAGCACTCTACCACTACACCACTACCGCAGGTATATGCTATATCATGCGGTAGTCGTGTAGTGGTAGAGCGCTCGCTTCATAAACGAGTGGTTCTGAGTTCGATCCCTACCACATCCCTGGTAGTATCGCGCTCAACTCGTTTCTCCGCGCAGCGGCCTTGTTTGTCAAGGTTTGTGTTTTGGAGTTATAGAGTTGAGAGAGGGTTATAGCCACAATTAAGTAGCCTCCTCGTCTGTAGTGGCCTTCTTGGCCTTGAGGAGGTGAATTAAAATTAAAAAAAAATTAAAATTAAAAAAAAATTAAAAAAAAATATGCTTGTTGCAACGCCTTGAGTATGCAGGAAAGGAATTTTTTTGTATATTTGAGTTTCTCTGATATTAGAAAGCTGTCTCTGTCAGAATGAACAGAAGCATGCATGCCAAACAAAAAGAGCAGGTTTTTGGAGCACTTTAAGACAGTAGAAGAGGTATTAGGACAAGGAAAACCAAATGGAAATAGTAAATATTTGTCAATAATTGTAAAAATATGATTTTAATCAGTGTTGGAAATGGGCTTTTTAAAATCAAATGGTTATCATTTTTTAAACGGCCATTATTATGGCTATCTAAGAAATCTTTTTCCAACGTTTTAAAAAACTTGTGAAAAAAAAAGTGCTCATAATACAGGTTTATAGGTTTATAGTTAGATTTTACATAAATTGGAAAAATTTAGCAGCCAACTTATAGTCAAAACATTAAAAAAAAAAACATTTGTAGACTATACAGGTAAAACCACAGATGTCACATTTTTCTCATTTTAAGAAAAATGAAATTTAGTGTTTAGTAACATTAGATATCTGTTTGTTAATGCATTTAATTGAAAATATATTTTTAAGACATTTTAGTCCTAATACAATATATAAATGCAGTTTTTGTGCTAAATACAAGAATTATTCAGTGTTCTTTTGAAAACAAGACACTCATTTTGGATATGTGTGATTTTTCCATTGTAAATTTATCAACTCATAAACCACGTTAGCTTACAACCTTTTAGAGCACTTTTTTTTAAAGGCAGATGGTAACATATTGTAATATACAACCACAACATACTAAGTGTGTGATGGGATAATAAAGCTGTCCCCCCCCTCCTGCTTTTCATAAAAAAAAGTCAATTAAAAAACTATATGAAAGTTTTTTTTAACTTTATACAAAATAGCATTGCAACCATATCTCTTCCCCAATCTAATCTATTTACCATAAATAATTCCATGATGCGTTTTATCACTTTATATCTGTGTTTCATCAATTTATATCAAGTTTGTATAAACCATACAAAACCAACTGTGAATAACATGTTAATAAAAATGTGTTTTTTTAATTTCAAAGAAAAATAAAATAAATTTTTTCCGAAAATAAGATAAAATTATATCAAACTAGCTGTCATGACCCGTAAAATACGGGTCTTTAGGATATTGATGCACACTTTATCCGCGTGCTTACAGTTCATAAGAACTATTATCCGGTTTATAACGCAAGAAAATCTCAATCAAATGAAAACATCTAAATGAAAATTTTAATGTCCTAGATACGAAGATTAAACTTATTGATTGCGTAAACACTAACTTTAACATAAATGGCATTTGCGAGACAATTCTTGCAACTTATGTCAAAATTTAATGGTGACTCTAAAATCCTAAAGGATAAGGGGGAGACGCTTTTTTTGAGAAAATATTTATACCCACTCCAAACTTACCAAGCCACACCAACTCTCGTTTATTAATCTTTACTTATCAGGTCTCCTTAAAAATAACAATTGAAAATAGACATTTTCCCTTAAATTTTAAAATGTTTTAATTAAAACTGAGAAAATTGTTTTTATTTCAATAAGTGATAAAAACAGAAACTTTCAGTGTTATATGAAAGTTTTTTTTAACTTTATACAAAATAGCATTGCAACCATATCTCTTCCCCAATCTAATCTATTTACCATAAATAATTCCATGATGCGTTTTATCACTTTATATCTGTGTTTTATCAATTTATATCAAGTTTGTATAAACCATACAAAACCAACTGTGAATAACATGTTAATAAAAATGTGTTTTTTTAATTTCAAAGAAAAATAAAATAAATTTTTTCCGAAAATAAGATAAAATTATATCAAATAATGTCTTATTTTGTCCAGTTAAAAAATGTTTAGCTTTTAGAAGTCTTTAAATTTTAAACAAAAAAGAGACAACAGAGATATGTATGCTTGTTTTAGTTTATCAGGCACTTCGATCTTTGATCTTAACATATGGGATGTAACACACATAAAATTAAATATTTCCAATTTTCCATATAATTAAATTTTAACAAGCCTTTAATATTTTAATTTCTCTAAGTGAACATGTCTTAAATGAACAAACAGCTATGAAGTTTGAGGCCATTGATTTGCAATAGCCATGTTACTGTCACATTCTATAGAGGTGTCATGCATATACAGAATGTGACAGAGTTTTAATTGGTAATGAAAGTTTTTCAGTTTTATGAACTAGATAATTAAATCAATCTAAAACTTTTCATTTCATATTTTGCCAAGCACATAAGTTGCAAATCAATTTAATACCCTTTACATTTGAGATAATTGACAACTTAAAATCATGCACAATAAATCATGCAACATAGAACATACATTATCAGCATAGCAATAAAAATATAATTTTTGAGTTAAAAGTATATTAGTGTTTAAATAAAACAGCTGTATTAAAATCAGAATATTATTGAGACTATTTTTACTTTGTTAGAATACAAAAGGTACACCTTATGAATTAAAACAAAACTTGAAATAATTCAAGAAAAATTTTTTGTCATTATAAAAAAAAACTTCCAAACATCATCCAACATTTTTTTTATCTTAAAAATAAGTTAGTCATGTGACTTATGCTTTTATTATCATTGTTTTAGTTATAAATAACTTGGACAAATGTATTTTTTACCCAGTAAACATTGGACAGCAGTTGTTGTTTCAAAGTTGCCCTCTTTTTAATATGATCATAGAACCTTAAAACAGTTTTTTTGTTATAAATTTTTAAATTAAAATAGCTCAGAACTAAAATATCATTAAAATATATATAAAACTTGAATTTTTCAAATACTGGACACCTGTGGTTTCACCCTTGTGGTCTTCATTTAATTTGCTTGAAAATTGAATATAAAAAATTAATAGCTTATAAATAGTTGATGTTAAGCTAACCCAGGACATTTCATATAGAAGAAGAATGGTAATCTCTTCACACATATCTCTATTTTTTTATGTTATTTTTCTGATTAGTTGAAATATCATAAATAGACATCAAGAGACCATAACGTTCAGGTAATATGCTGTCATGTTGATCTGAAATGTAGTCATTTTTCTATTTTTTAGATTGTACAGAAGACATCTATTTAGATTGCCAGTTGTAGTATTACCCTCTTTATTAGATGAATCTGAAAAATCCCATCTAATTCTTGTCTTTTGCTAATTAACTTCTGTATATACTTTTTTTTCAAATGAGTACTATGGGCTGTATAAGACTTGACCAATGTAACCATTGTCTTGAACTAAGTTCAAAAATATCTGCTCCATGGTTTCAATATCTCTATTTATGATAGAAATATAATTTAACACTACTTATATTAGAGTGGGTCACTTTTGAAAAATTTTTTGAATTTAGGTTCAGCTGGCCATTTTTCATATGTCTTTTACCATATGATACTGAGAACTGATTCTCTTTATTTTTGCATTTAATATTTAGTCAGATAATTTTCAGCTTGAAAAAGTTTAGTTTTATCATAAATATTCATTTTCCCAGTGTTTTGTCAATTTTTTACTAATATCATTTTCAAACCACTCTAAATCAAATCAATGTCTCAAACTACACCTATTTTAACAATATACATGTCAAAATATGATCCTAAATTATAACAACTAAGGGGTAATTTTACCATAGAAATGGGTAATAAAATTTTTTGTACAATGTATTGAGGACGTATTTCCACAAGCTTTTGTTTATATTGGCTAAGGTCAAACCACTAGTAACAGTTTTGTCAATTAATAAAAGGAAGAAATAATAATGCATGTAATTATTGCATTGAAATAAGTGTAAAGTTATAAATAATGGCTCAAAAAACTCATGTTAAAGTTAGATGTAAATTAACAAAGCTATTTTGTACAGGAAAATCATTATTAGAATCAAAACTACTAACTTTAAGAGATGTTTTAAGAAATGGTCTTTTTCTTAGAAGGATTGAAAAAAATGACAAAAATTTAAGACAAACTTCTGAAAAATTGCAGACCTCAGTAAAAAGTTTATGACTAAAAGAAAATCCACTTATACCCATTATTTCCAATAAAAGTGGAAAAGAAAGAATGGTATATGAGTGCAAAAAGCATATAATCTGACATTAGGTAGGGGAACACCTAAGCAACTTTCTGATCATAAATTGATCTTAGATAAACTGTTTGACACAGCTAGGTGTAAATGTTCAATAAAAACATGCAAAGAATCTGATTGTAAAGGCTGCAACCAGAGTTTTTATATTCTTTGAAAATGTTCTCAGGAAAATAAAATTCCTATTATTGAACCTAAATTTTTAAAGTCACAGAGAGATAAAGTTGTTTTTAAAAGTGGAATGCAAATAGGTTCACCGTTGATAGAAAAGAAGTATTAAAACAAAAAAAATACCATCAAAGAATGCAAAACAAATCAAAGAGAGTTAGAATCGAGAATGTACAGTATTCTAATGATTATAATGACTATGTTTATTTACCAGACATACAGAAATTTTCTCAGGTATTAATCTTAACACAGGTTTTATTTTGATTTCTTTAAATAGTAACTTAAAATTTTATATTCTTATATTTTTTACCAAAAATAAAAAGCTATTATAGGCTAGAAGGGTGGAGTTATCTGGATGATTTTTGTGCTGCATACCAACGAGTTGCTACATAGGCATTTAATGTTAGTTTTTTATGCAAAAACACTAAAAGGTAATATCCTAATATTAGGTATGCAAGTTGCATATATAAGGTGTGTCTTTGCACCAGTTTAGTTTGGCTTATTAGCCAATGCCGATTAATCAACCAATAACATCAGCCAAATAATTGGCCAATGGTTAAGCCATTTAATTGTTTTCTGGTTACCAATAGCATAGGCTAGTAGTTCGAGTCACTGCTTATGTATATATGGTACATGTTATATATGTAATTTAAATCCTTAATATTATTATCATATCTTTATATAAATACATTGAACCCTTACATTAGGCTCAATCCGCCTTTGTCATCAGTATGTTTATAAAACAAAGATTTACAAAACTTGAAATTGTTAGCAGAGTTCATCATGGGTGTTTATTCAGTTATGTGGTTGGAGATTAAGGTGATAAACTAAGTAAAATAGAATACAACAATAATTGTAATACAATTGTAATTATGCTAAAGAAAAGTAATTAATTTTAGACTAAACATAGCTAGATTCAGGATCCATGTCATATCCTTAAACAACAAGCCTTAGTAAAGAAACAGAACAACTTTGTAAAAGATATTGTATTACTGCATGTGTTTCTCTGCCTCTGAATGGAATGTATTCTTCAGACAATGCTCTGTAGTTCAGATGAAGGAGATAGGAGATTTGCAGTGCAGAAGATATTTAATGTAAGAAAAAATAAGGATGTTGGAGACAGTAAATGCAAAAATAGAAGAATACCAGTGATAAACACCAAATCAAATAATCTAATAAATTTAATCAATTGGGAAACAGAGGAGACCATTGAATTGATTCTTACTTTGTTGTTTGATAAAAGATGATATTAAACAGTTTATTAATAATCCAATGATTGTACCAAACTTTCATATTCATGGTCAACCTATTAAACCCATTGTCAATGTCAGTGTATGGAGCAGAGAAAAGAGATGGGTTCATAAGGGCTAAGATGGCTCATAGAGAGCCAATCCATGTATGCCAATCAAAGAAAGATCTGAAATTTTTTTAATCAGTATTTTAACTTTTTATTATGAGTAAACAATTTATTTTAAAAGATATGCTTAAAATGTTGTTATCAATATTTTAACATCTTACTACGCGTGCAGACTTAATATACCATAAAATTTAAGGGATTTTTGTTCCTATATCAAGTTAATTCCATCAGCATGATTATATGATTGGCATTAACATTGATAAAGCTGGTTAGACACTTTTTAAGTCCTCGGCTTATTATAACCAAATTTGAATTCAAGAACTAAGTTTGTTAGTCCAGATGTGATTTGGATATTTTCAAAGTAGAGTAAACTCCAATACATGGTACAAGGAGAATTGTTCTCGGAGGAGTGATTTTGAAAGTCTTGAACTTCATTCCAGCATGGGTAAACATCCATGTTGTTAGCTCTTAATCCTTTCCTTAGCTATCTGTATGTTGATCAACCCAACAGTGAATCACAGTAGTTTTTAGAAAGATTTTTGAATAATGTTGCAAAGGAATATTAGCAATTTCTTATTATAATAGTTATAAACAATTCTAGTCTAAATTTAGTTTTGACATTTTTTGATTGGTTGTAAATAACTGTTGTGTTGTTAACTACTATTGAACAAACAAGAGTATTAATGTACATTATATTATAGATAAAAACCTTAGAAGTTAAAATCTTAGAAGTTAAGAGGTATTATTCATAGATCATCCAGGTCATATTTTAAAAACCCGGATAATTATTTGGGTAAAATATCTGGAAAAAATCTGGAATATATTTTACCTTATATTCCTCCTAATTTTGCTTCTAGCTGAGTTGTTTCTAATTTTTTTTAAACTTTTCTTAATTTTTGTATGAGTAATCAGTGAAAAAGCTTAAAATATATACAAAAATATATACTTAAACTTGTATGTTAGAAAAACATTTTAGGTATCCGAAAAAACTAAAAATTGAGAAAAATATACGGAATGTCGGAAATATCCAGAGTGTTACTATTCAAAAAAGGTAAAATGATCTGAAAAGGTATTTTGCAAAAAACAAGGAGTTCAAATTTATATAAAATTTTTGAACTTGAGGGTATAACATGCGCAACAGCAAAAAAAATTTAAATAACACAAAAACATTAAATGAAAAGAATAAAAACTTCTTAAATTAGCAAATCACTTCCTCTTTTATTAACACAATTGGTAAGCTGTCTGACCTATGCAAACATATTTTTAAATGATGTTTAAACAAAGATGATTAATGGTGATGATGATTTATCAATAATTTAGCAGTGGTGTGGTGGTAGAATGTTCTCTTAATTCTTTGAAACCCACCACGCCCCTGGTAGTACCGTTTCTCTGAACAGTGGCTTTGTTCGGCAAGGTTCGTGTTTCAGAGTTAATGACTCAACATGTTGCTGTCATGGCATTGGGGAGGAGAATAACAAAAAAAATCAATTGGTGATCAATAATTCCTTTTTTAAAATTTTTTAAAATATTTTAAATTCAAACTTGTTTTGACATTTAAAAATTGGTTGTAAAAATGACTTTAAAAATAACAAATAACTTATTTCTGAACATACCTCCGCAACTTTAGCCATACTTGTCATAAAATTGCCAGTAGTCGTTTTTATGGCGAGAGTTAAAAAAATTGTTAGCAGCGGAAGTAAGAACATTGTAGCTAAATAAAAAAAAACATTCAAATAAAATTAAAATCAAAAAATTGAAAAAATAAAAATTAAACTTAGCAATAATTATTGTAAAGCAAAACTTATAATATTGTAAATTTATAACATTGTAAAGCAGAAACAACAGTTTTTGGTTTTAAAGTTTTTAGAAACAAATAATCTTAACAATATAAACAAACGGCAAATGTACAAATGTCAGAATTATAAATTCTCAATCAAATTTGATACTTTTAATTTTTTGACACAATAAAAACTTTAGTTTATAGCATTGAATTTTTTTTTTTTTTATACCATATAACTTTAATTCAAATGCCTATTTAAACTGTTGTGAACCCGATCAAGACAAATATGTTGTATGCTATTAGTAAGGTTATTATTATAAATCTAAAATAAACAGTAACACAATCGTATATAACTGCCAGGGATGCGGAATCACAAAAAGGATTTCAGATTTGAAAGTCACAAAAGGAGCTTTAAAACTATAAATAAGTTTATGGACTACTAATAAGGAAAAAAATTAAAACTTTTAAGTTAGAGGAACAATCATTTTTTTAACCTGGAGTCCTTAGATATAATGGCAGCAAGGACTCTAAGACTCCAGGACTCCAGCCTTAAAAACATTAGGTTTCAAGTCATTAAATCTCATGAATTTTTTTCTTATAGCAGATCGTTAGTCAACAAACATGTTTAGAGCTTCTGAACACTACAAACTTAAAAAAGGTAGAGATATAAAGCCGGAGTCCTTTTGGAACTCCGCATCGCTGATAATAGCATAATATAAATATAAGATAACATAATATCCAAATTTTTTTTTTGCGTGTGTTTATTTATTTTAGGACTTGTTTAGTTAAGTTTTATTACAAATTAAGCTTAGAAAGAGGGCTTCTAATACAGTGTGGATGGTTTGTAATACAAAGTAAATTCTTAGTAGTACCACTAGGATATTGAGTTATGGGTGATGCAATTTGAGTACTTGGAGTTGTTTTATTAGGAAAAGGTAAACCATTAGTAGTAGTTGGAAAAGGGCAATCATTTGTTGTAGGGTTGCCAGATGTCAGGCTTTTGTGAAGGAGAACACAGTAAAAAAATTCATTTTTACAGATTTGGCACTATATTCTCTTCTTACAGAATAAAAATACAATTCCATAAGAGCGCATAATTAGTGTCTTCCCCACTGTTATCAGGTACAAAAACGACAAAAAGTATTCAGAAAAGTAGGATACAAAGCAATATATATATATATATATATATATAATATATATATATATATATATATATATATATATATATATATATATATATATACATATATATATATCAACCCAGGGCCACTGAGAGCTTTTACAATGTCCAGGGCATAGCAGCAATTAGACACCCTATAACTTATAAGAGTGCCTAATTGCTGCTATGCCTTGGGTATTGTGAAAGTTCTCAGCAACCCTGGGTTTCAATCTGGCTGCTACTAGGTAGTTTTGATTTGTATTTTTATGTTAATAAAGATCTTAGATTTGCTTTTTGTAAATGCAATGCATTTTAGTGAAGCTGCACCAAGCAGTAAATGCCTTAGAAATGAATAATAAGTTAAAAAGAGTTTAGCAGAGTGAGATAAAAGTACAAAAGAACAGATGTCCAGTGGAAAACATAGAGCCACAAAGTAGAAAAATACTAAAAACTGATCTAAGTAAAATGTAGTAAAAATAAACATGCATGCTTATAATATAAGCATGCATATTTTTTAATAAAAGAATTTACAATTATACAAGTTAATGACTGTGTTTTTATTTCTAAAACCATTACTTTACACCTATATTTTTATGAACTGCATCTGGATTAAATATCATTTAATTAACATATTTTTTGAAACAGATTCTTCGAAATTAATATTGAAAACAATTTTTTCTTGGTTTTTTATTAGCAAAAATTATCACTATTATTGTTATATTTGCTATTATTATTATGTCACCTTATGGCAGAATTGTATCCAGAGTTGAATACAGAGTTGTATTCAATTTCAACATGCATTTCCGATAGATCATTTTTTAAATCAATTTCAGTTTACTCAATGGTCGTTCACTTTCTGCGATAAGAGTTGGCGTTGCGATAATAAATTCAAAGTAGAATGCATATAAATTAGAAAATAGGCTGTAGATCTTTTGTGTATACTTGCTTGAGGTAGCCTAAAGTGTTTTCAGAAATAAAAAAACGAAGACTCCTTTAAACAATTAAGATGCAAAATATCTGCGACAAAGTTGTCTTCCATTTCACAAGCTTTTATTTTTACCAGTTCTTGATCTTTCAACTAGATGAATGAGAATCTTAAATAAACAGTTTTCACAACCCTAATTTTAAATTGAATTTGCTGAGTAAAATGATAAAGTACAATGTTAAAGATATTTGGGTGACACATAAATAAAAACTGCATTTCCAGGTTCATTGCGATTTCGCTATCATTTTCGCTTTTCCAAAAATTCTGTTTTAAAGCCAGGTAGCTATAAATCCGCTCATCGTGGGTGAATATTTATATTAAGTAACGGCTTTAAAGCAGCAGTTTTCTTAGACGATATTTCGTCTGACTTTTTTTCCCGGAAACAATATCAGGGAAGTCAGACGGGAAAACTTTGGTTAAAAAGTCATGCAGAAAACTATTTGTTAAACACGATTAATGATAGGAGTATTGCTTTTGTAAAAAGTTAAATAAAAATGTATGAATAAAAATTAACTTAACTTATTTCCTACTCTAAAACATCTAAGCTTAGTTAAGCTTACTAGAGATGTGTGAACACGGCTGCTGATGATACTGGTATCTATAACCCAGCAAAAACTTTATATATATATATATATATATATATATATATATATATATATATATATATATATATATATATATATATATATATATATATATATATATATATATATATATATATATATATATATATATATATATATATATATATATATATATATATATATATATATATATATATATATATATATATATATATATATATATATATATATATATATATATATATATATATATATATATATATATATATATATATATATATATATATATATATATATATATATATATATATATATATATATATATATGTAGGGGAGAGCTGCCAAAATTGGAATAGCGCCTTAATTGGAACACTTGCATTTATTTTTAAAAAAATATTAATTATGGCTATACGCATTATTTTCTACGTTTTGACACATTTTGAAAGTTATTTCTCATAAAATGCGATTGTACTATTGATTTAAAGTTTTTTTGCGTCATTTTCAGTGATCTAATTTTGTGTTCACACTTTATTGATTGCGCTTAGTGCTATAGGTTATATCGTTATAAATTGTTGCAAGCATGTTATTGTAGTGATAAAACAAAATAGTCAAAAGTTTCCTTGATTGGAACATTAAAATTTTCCTTACCTAATCAGTAATAAAATCAAAGGGTTGTAAAAATAGTTCGAGTGCAATTAAAAAAATACTTAGTAACAACCATAAACCTTAAAAGTAATACTTTATTTAAGGATTTTTAATCAATAAATTAAGAGAGCGTCATAACAGTTAAAGCTTTATGTAATTTTTTGTTTGTAGACTTTAAATTTGTCAGGGTAATCCAACAATAACTTTTGAATTAACGGCTTAATTTTCACTGTAAAGAGGAAAATCATTTTTTACAAATTTTTGTAGATTTTACTGTTTTTTTTTGTTTGTTTTTTTTAATAACCTGTTCTGATTAAGGAATCAAAGTGTTCCAATTTAGGGAACCAGTTGCCTTGATTGGAACAAAATGGTAACTTTGTAAAAACAAATTTATTTTCAATAAGAATGCAATCAATGAAGTCAACTTGTGGTTAAAAGTATAGTAGGTATGTCTGTTTGTATTAATCAAATCACAAATGTTTTTATAGTTAAACAATCAATATTTATTCCTAAATTGTTCTAAATCACCAACTCACCCCTAAATAAATAAATATATATATATATATATATATATATATATATATATATATATATATATATATATATATATATATATATATATATATATATATATATATATATATACATATATATATATATATATATATATATATATATATATATACATATATATATATATATATATATATATATATATATATATATATATATATATATATATATATATATATATATATATATATATATATATATATATATAGTTATTATTATAAGTTTTAATGATTATAGTTATTAAATTTGTTTAACTTTATTGATACCTATTCGAATCCCCATTCCTCGTTTACCCCATTCCCTCCCCCCACTCCCCACACCACCAGAGCCGGCGCTAGGCACTAGGCAGACTAGGCAGCTGCCTATAAAATATAAAAGATCTAACTAAAATTATAATTTTATAATAATTATAAAAATTATATATAACGATGAGCAATTTTCCATTTCCAGTAATTGAGCATAAACTGCAAGGCAAATTAGCGTATCACTCGCAGGCTTTAGGCAAAGGCAACATGTAGTGTTGTAATGTTATTAAATAGTGACTCCTGCTTCTTGTCTCTAGTCTGTGCTTATATTAATAAAATGAGAGATAATTAACAACTTGAGTTGCGTTTTCCAAATAAAGTAAATATTTTCTTTTTAAATTATAAACACAACAAACGAAATTGTATATTATCCGTTCGCTGTTCCTCATGTTCATTCGATCGCCCGCATATTCAATCAGTTATTTCACATTTATTCGCTTGCGTTTGGTTAACAAGTACTAGATACTTCTTCTGTCTGTCTCTGATTCTTTGAATAAATGTCAATTTAACTCTTTCCCTCCGCAAGCCGCTGATAGCGGCTTTTGATTTTTTTTTTTATTATGACTGCAAGCCGCTGGTAGCGGCTTTCGAGTATGCTTCACAATTTATCCTGTTTTGTCCATAAATCAAGACACATAGTTTGTTTTTTCTTAAAGTTTAATTAGTTCTCTACATAATCAAGTACAAGTATGAGCCATAATGTGTAACTATAATTAGTTATCACTTGACAAAGTTAAAAAATCTCAAGTATCAAATTTTTTTTAATCCTTGATAAAAAAAATTTCTTTAAATTTAGTTCGTAATTAGTAAAATAAAGCAGCGTTAACACTGTAAAATTTAACTTGTAGAAGCGTGTGAGTATTTAGCTAAGTAGTTACAAAGGTTTTTTTTAAAGAAAAAAGTTCTTTTTATACATTAAATAAGTTTTATTTCGGACTTTATGTTTTATTTATTTTATTTTTATTTTTTTATGTTACTATTTATAAAAACGATGGTTTAAGTACCTTGCATTTCTTACTGTTCAACGATGCGTGTTAAAAACTTATTTAATTAAAAAGTTCATTTGTTTATTTTTCAATTAATATATAGTTTGTAACAAACTATATATATTAATTGAACAAAGCTAACAAATTGATACGCTTTTAAAAAGATATACTATTCGAATTTTTTATGTTATTTCATCGAAATTTTATTCAAAAAAAAACGTGCGGTCACAGCGAAAAGATTTTTGTTAAAACGGCGGTAGCGAAAGAGTTAAGTGTTGACTATTATATTTTATTTATAATTAGTATTTAACTGACAATATTCTTATCGATTGAAAAGGTAGTGTATTACTTCAATTCTACTATTGTACGCTAGCAAATAATAAGTAAATATTTTATAATTACACATTTCTTACGTTTTTTAACCATGTCTGAGAAAAAGAGACTATCAGTAAAGAAAAATAAAGAAAGTCAAAGAAAAGCTATTTTGAAATTTCGTGCAGAAACACATTCTACAGGTACTGATTCTGCTACTGAAAGCGATAGCGGTGTGAGTAAAAAATCTAAAGTGATAGTTGACGATAAAACTGTTAATAATGCTAATATTTCAAATCAACAAAATGAAGTTGTAAATATCAATGAAAACCAAATTTATCTACCTGAAGCAACTCCTGCTGTTAATATTTCAAGACAAATTGAAACTGAAACTCAAATTAGCATATTATCATCTGCAGACTACAGTGACCCTGCAAATTGGCCTACTCATTTTAGTGACAATTTTCGGCAATTTGTTATAAAAAATAGACCGCAACAAATTGAAAAATATAGATTTCCACGAGATCGAGAAGAACAAAAAAGAAAATTTTCATCAATCTATTACATTACCAAATGGAGAAGAAGTCTCTCGTTTTTGGCTTATATATTCAGTTTCAAAAAATGTATTTTTTTTTTTATGTTGTAAATTATTTGGTAAAAGCAAAAGTAGTTTGCCGGCTTTAGAAGGTTCAGGTTCAAACGATTGGAAGAATATTGGAGCACTTCTTTCTTCTCGTGAAAAAAGTAATTCACATCTCGTAAATTTTCAAATGTGGAAAGAACTTGGTATACATTTATCTACAGAAAAAACCATTGATCATATTAACCAACAAAAAATTAATGAAAAAGAACAATATTGGCAACGAATTTTAGAAAGATTAATTGCCTTAGTCAGAGTACTGGCTACGCAAAACTTGGCATTTCGTGGAACAAATGAAAAGCTTTACAATAACGCCAATGGTAATTTTTTAAAATTTGTTTAGTATCTCGCTTTATTTGACCCATTAATGAATGAACATGTGCGGAAAATTAAAAATCAAGAAATTAAAACTGCTCATTATCTTGGAAAAGAAATTCAAAACGAATTAGTACAAATACTAGCAAATGCTATAAAAGATAATATCTTGACTAAAGTAAAATTTGCTAAATATCATTCTATAATTTTAGACTGCACCCCAGATAATAGCCATACAGAACCAATGACAATAATAATTCGTTTTGTTGATTTAGAATCACCAACATCGCAGGATGGGGATTTAGTTAAAATTAAAGAACATTTCTTAGGATTCATACCTGTGGAGAAATCTACAGGTGGTTTTTTGGCAAAAACATTAATTGAACAATTGGAAAATTTTAATTTACCAATTGAAAATTTCCGTGGACAAGGATACGATAACGGAAACAACATAAAGAGTAAGGAGAATGGGGTAAAAAGAAAAATTTTGGATATAAATCCTCGGGCGTTTTTTATTCCATGCAGCGCACATTCACTAAACTTAGTTGTGAATGATGCATGCAAGTGTATCTTAGATACAATAAGTTTTTTTGGTGTGGTGCAACAGATTTATTGTTATTTTTCGGGATCACCTTCTCGTTGGCAAGTTTTTCGTAGCTATTTTCCAGATTTTACTGTCAAGTCATTAAATGATACAAGATGGGAAAGCCGCATTAATGCTTTAAAACCATTACGATACAATCTCGGAAAAATTTACGATGCTTTAATGCAAATATTTGAGGATCCAAGATTACAAACTACATCAGTAGGAAATTTTTCCCAAAATGAGGCTAAAGGGCTTGCAAATTCTATTTGCATATTCAAGTTCATGGTTGCCCTAGTTTCATGGTACGACATTCTTTTTGAAGTTAATATTTCTAATAAAATATTACAAAATAAGAAAGTTGATTTGAATGTAGCTACACAACAATTAAATATTACTAAAAACAAACTTGTAAAAATGAGAAATGATGAAGGCTTTTAATGAATTATTGTTGATGCTGCTGAAATTGCAAAAGAATTGGAAACAGTAACAAATTTTGAAGAAAAACATGTCGGGAGAAGGAGAAAAAAGCGACAGTTCGATTATGAAACACAAGATGAAGCGTTGCAAGATCCAAAAGAAAAATTTAAAGTTGAATTTTATTTTATAATTTTAGACACTGCTATACAGTCTATTGCGGAAAGGTTTGAACAAATGCGACAGTATAATAGTATGTTTGGCTTCCTTCATGATATTTATTCTATAAGTTCAAAATCTTCAGCAGAATTATTGAAAAATTGTAGAAATCTAGAAGAAATTTTAACTCATGGCTCTCAAAAAGATATTAGTGCAGCGGATCTTTGTAATGAAATCAAAGTACTTTCTGGAAGACTCCCACAACAAATGACACCACATGAAGTACTAACTTTTATAGTTGAACAACGTTTAATTGACTGTCTACCAATTATATGTATTTCTTTAAAAATACTATTAACACTTCCAGTGTCCGTTGCAAGTGGCGAGCGAAGTTTTTTGAAGTTAAAAATAATTAAAAATTATTTGGGGTCGACAATGTTACAAGAACGACTGGTGGGATTATCAATAATTTTGATAGAACGCGAAGAATCATCAATATTAAATTTGAAAGAAATTGTAAAAACATTTGCAACAAAAAAAAGCCAGAAAAATAAAAATTTAAATATGCTTTTATTTTTATTATTAAATATTTTCAAAATACAAATAAATTCAGGTTTCTGAAATTCAAATTCTCTAATAATTTAAACATCAAATCAGAAACAAGTTTTTTTATTCTTTGTAACTATATTATATTCCAAGTTTTCAATTTTTACTCATAATTCTAGATTATTACTTATTATTATTTCTTGAGATAAGCTAGGTTAATTATTATTATTTTGGTGCGATTAAATATTAGGAATAGTCTTCATTAATTCTATTAAATATTACTTTTATTCTTTGAATGTCATAAAATCTCAAACATTTTTTATTCTTGTAAATAAAAGTTGAGTGGCTGAAATCCTAAAATGTCAAAAATAAATATTTAATACTTAAATATGTCCACCATTTTATAATGTTTATGCCATTTTAAATAAAATTAATATTTATGTTTTTGCTCTTTCAAATTAAAATATTTTTTTTCGGAGGGAAGGAGGGTTGAATTTTTTTTGCCTAGGACGTCAAATACCCTAGCGCCGGCTCTGCACACCACACACACAAGAATTAGCATTTATTAAGTGTCGATTTCTCCCTCGACTCCTCCCCCCTCCCTTCAATATTTTGTGCTCTTTTGAATTTTCACAAGGACGCAAAATATTAAAAAAAGATATATCTATTGATGTTATATTGACATATCTAAAATATAATACGTGTTAAAAACTCCTTTATTATCAAATTCATATGGTGTCAGACGTGACATTCATACATGTTTAAAGGTGTCACTTGTTATGAAATTAAGAAGTTTTTGCTAATATACTTTCATTGTTAATACAATGCTGGTGTGTGCTATTAATCATGTTATCATAATTTTTTTATTTACAATACTGGCTGAACTATAACTAAAATCACATGGTGTCAGCGTAAAATTCAAAAACCGTCACGTACTTAGATTGAGCATCAATCGAAAACAGTTTTAGTAAAACTGTTTTCCATTGATGCTCAACGCCAATTTCAATAAAGTCTTGTGAAACTGTGTGTGTGTACAATACAAGGCACCTTTATATATATATATATATATATATATAGGGGAGGTGGGAGCATAACCGTATATGGAGGCACAACTGTTTTTTAACATTTCACATTGAAAAATGTTATCTAATATGGCAAAAAACATACCATGAGTTGGTAAAACAGTTTCAGGTAAAAAAGGTAAAAAATATATATAAGGTTGAAATTAAAAATATTATTTTTTATGTTATTCTAAAAAGATTACATTATATATAAGATAATTTTTTTTAAATAACATAAAAAATAATATTTTTAATTTCAAGCTTTTACACTATTGTTGAAGTGAGATTATGTAATTAATATATTATTGAAAGTATATGCGCCACCAGTTAAAAGTTAGCCTTACAAATGAATTTTATTATATCAGTCAGTTACTTTATTAAATTTGTCTTTTAAAAAATATCAGATTAAAATGTTTCTTAGGATTTTGCCTGAAATTCGTGTAAATGAGTTAGTCATTACCCTAAAACTCATTACTTACCTATACTAATTTTTTTTTCACATATAGCAATACTTTGGTTTATTTACATCAATTTGTGAAGATGATTTGTATCTTATACTCTTTTTCACTTGATAATGCCTTATTTTCATCTATTTTATACAGAATTTTACAAATAAAAATTAATTATATAAAATATTATTATATTTGAGTAAATTGTCTTAAAGTAATGGTCTAAATTTTATCAAGAGTTCTTGTTTTTCTGATGTGACGTGTGGAATATTTCTCTTTTTCATTCGAGACGTGTAGAATAATTTTCTCTTACAATATCACAGACATTTCACTACTGATAGTAGAAACGCTGATTCTGTAACTTACATCAATATTACACTGAGAACCTTTTTGTTACAAGAAACTTAAGTGTTACAGCAAACTCCTCACTTGGACTTTTTTTTTTTTGATTTAGGTGTCCCAATAAAACCTTACGGTCTTGTTACAGAGCACCGCGCTAGAGCATTTGAATAGGAAGTTCACGCCTCCTTCTTTACCGATGGCGCTAAATATGTCCATATGTCCATATTCTCTTTGAACCTTTGATCTCTTGATTATAAAGTAATCACTCTAACCATCAAATCAACAACAACTTTTTTCTAATCAACTTATTTTCCAAAAGCACGCCAACAGTTTCGCTGGTGGATATTAAAATATTAACGAAAAGTTAGCGAAAAATAGATTATATATTTCGGTTGATACACAACCAAGAGTAGTTAAGTTTTTTGTTGTTTTCTCAAACTCAATTTACTTGGACTATATATACATACATATATATATTTATATATGTATATATATATATATATATATATATATATATATATATATATATATATATATATATATATATATATATATATATATATATATATATATATATATATATATATATATACATATATGTATATGTATATATATATATATATATATATATATATATATGTATATACATATACATATGTATATAATATGGGATTCAGTGCCAAAACCAAGGCCTTTGATGTCGTATAAAGTATCTAAGGGAAATTAGGAAAGGTGGATCTTCAAAAAGCGTTCAATAAACTAATGGTGGGGGGGGGGGGGAGGGGTTATTGTTTGATCAACTTAAAAAAAAGGAACACTCTAGATTAAGAAATGTTTCCTAATTTATATAATATTTTCTAAATTAAAACTTTTTTAATTAAAAAAAAGAAACGATAGGGGGAGGACGTTCTTCAAAATCGTACGTACTTTTCAGGGGTAAAGGGATTTAAAAGTACGCATGGCAACAGGGGGAAGGGGATTGAATTTCTGAATATTTGGAGAACTTACTTTATGAACTACACTTTATATTTAATTTTTTACAACTTTCTCAAAATAATTAGAATAGAATATAAATAAAGAGACTAATGGAAGGACTTTAAGAAGATAAAATAGAAGATCATATCACTTTACAATTTATAGTTTCAACAGTTTTTAAATAGTATAATTTTACAATTTTCGTGAAGTTATATACATGACGTTTAAATGCATTAACAAATTCAAAATGAAACTAATAACATTTAATCTTTAGAAATAGATAAAGATGTTTTCTAGTAAAAAAATAATGTCTTTTAATTTTTGTTCAAAATAATTATAAGACAAATTAATTAAAAAATCAATATTAGGATCAACTATTTTATTCCATAGGTTTCGACCACGAAAAGAAATACAAAACTGATTATACTTAATTCGACAAAAAGGGGCATTGAGATAATTATTAGTACGTAAATTATATTTACTTTTGGGTTTTAAA